AAAAAAAAGTTGCTAACTGTGGACGCACAGAAACGGAAACTGTATCTGACAGTCTTCTTGGACCAGTTTTATTTCTTATCTTTAGAGTTTTACTTTAGCAATGATTTAAAAATGAAGGTGTTACACTTTTATCTTCAATTACAATGAGATGAAATCATAGTGTCTGCTAGATAATGGGTCTTCAACCTGCAGTTCCAAAGCCTGAAGAGGCAGTATGTCTCTGTAGCTCTCTTACTATCTCTAAATTAAATATTGCCTTTTTTATTTTTTTATTTTATTTTATTTAATTGTCTCCAATCAGAAACATGCTGCCTTGACGACATTGACGCTGCTCATGCTGAGGTGGACCCTCCCCCTACACAGCTGGACCGAAGACACGTTCAATGTCATCATCTAAATTTATTGGGGGGGTGGAAATTTTTGACTTTTTAGAAAAAGTTTTTCGATTATTGGAAAAAAATTGCTTTTGAGGTGCGAAAGCAATTTCTTCCATGAGAGGTAGTTTTGTCATACCATCCTGACCGTTTGTATGAATTAGTTACAACTTAGTTGCATTGAAGTATTGTTTAGTTTACTTTTGCATGGTTTGCATGTGCTAATATCTGTGTGTCAAACTTGCACATGGTTTTCTGTCATAAATGTCAGCTGTTCAAAATCCTGACAAGTGTTGCTGCAGTGCTGGAAGTGAAAATCCTGGGCATATAAAGATTGCACAGCTAGAGGTGATTTTCAACTTCCTAAGTGACTTATGTGGAAGAGACAATTGTCAGTTAATAAGCATTCTGATGTCATTTAAAAATTATAAGAATGCATTATCAAGAAAAACTTATTAAATATTTAATAAGCTCAATCTCTTAAGAAAAGTGTTTGTGTTTATTTTTTATTTCTGTTTCAAAATTGGATTTTGGAATGTCATAAATATCTTAATAAGTTTTGGTTTGCTTACTAAGATTGCTAATTTGTGGTGGTAATTCATTGCGTATGCAAAAGTATCACAGTTTCAATGTTTAATTTTGAGATGCATGTCTGAGTATCAGAGAAAGCAATACAATTTTCAGAATAAAACACTCATTGAGACCAAAACAAAGGTTCATTTGGGAAATTTAATTCATCATGACATGTTGACATGGAGAAACTTTTTAATTCTTTATAAATATCATTAAAAAAATCCTGTTTAATCATTTTCAAATAGTATGGAAACTTAGCAGATTGATTTAAGTATAATATATAAATGAATGGTCGGTCTTGGTCCAATTATACGGAAGAGAATTAGGGCCACCGAAAAAAAAAAAAAAAAGTTAACTGATTTTTTTTATTTTTTTCAGTATAGTATGGGAAAAAAGTCAGAATTCTGACTTTAATCTCAGAATTCTGACTCTTTTCCCATTTTAAACTGAAATAAAATTTAAAAATCAATCAACTTTTTTTTTTTTTTCAGTGGCCCTAATCCTCTTCCGTACAATTATCTCTGAGGGACAGATAGAAAATAAAAAATGTGTTACAACCATCTAAACTGGAGGTGGGTAGAACAAAAGCAAAAAGTAATCTTTCAAGAAATTATTCAAGTAGGAC